GGGGGGGGGGGGGGATTTCCTTTCCCTCCCCATTTCCATGGGCGTCGAATCTGGGAGCCAGGGATGCTGCCTGCATCCTGCGCACGTTGGCTGTATAACCCGCAATAGTGTTGGGTGCTGGTGCAAAGTCCAATCAAACATGCAAAAACGCTGATTTATTTTTATATATATTTTAAAATAGTGTAATTAAGCAGCGGAACAATTTGGCGAGTGCTGTGGCAGAGCTGCTAGCATAAGGACAGCTGTTCTTCCAAGGGGCACGTGTGTGCGCTTGCTTTGGTTCAACAGAATTTAACCTGGGGAGCCTGAGGGTCTGGAAAAACAAATCCTCGCTCCTCCTGGTACCTTTTGCCAAGTCACTGTGTGAAATGAAAGCCCAAAGTCCTCCACTTTGGGTCGCCACCAGGCTTTCCAGCCCCTCTGCATGCCAGCCTGGGAGCAGCGATGGGCCCAATGGGTACGGGAGGTGCTGGTGCATCCCTTGGACTACGGGGAGCTGGGAGAAATAGGGGGCTGTGTCACCTCCCGCCTCTGGTCCTGCGGGGAGTAACCAGCTCTTTCTTGGTGACTTCTACATCAAAAAATAGATTTTTGGTCTATTTTACGCTCTATATTAACACCACTGGATATTGCATCCTGCTAATAGCTTCCACGATGCACGCCTGGTCCCAGTTCTGCTTGTGCCACTCACAGGGCAGATCTATCCAAAGATATTTGATGCCCACGTGGGCTAATTTTACTCATCTGCTGTGTGTCCTTGCCTTTGCACACCTGAGGAGCCCTGCTGTTTTGCATATATCCTTTATAATGAGTATTATTAATATCTGCAGTATGCTTGTAACAGCTACTAATCATTTTATTACTCTTTATAATCTATTTAAAGCACAATTAGAAAAAAAAATCTATACAAAGTTACAGCCAAAAGCACATTTCAGTTACGTTATAAATCCCTGAAAAACAACCATCTATCATGAAAACCGGTGCTCCTTTGCTCAGCTGACAGAAATGGATGCTGCTGCGCTACACCGAGGGACGACGAGGTAAGGGAGGGCTGGACGGCAGACCTCGGTCGGCTCCTCTCGGCCCTTCAAAGCACGACTCCTTCGGGCTCCAGCAGCAGGTAATTGTGCAAAGGCTTGGGCACAGGCAGCAAGGGGATAAGGCAATGGCATTTGCTGCCAAACTTCTTCCGAATGGCGGAGCGGCATAAATGTTGCAGGCACCGGACTGTGCCCGTCAGCCGGAAGAAGGACTCGTAGAATAGCCGGTGCTGCTGCAAAGAGAGGGGGGAGGGAAAACATGAGCATCAGTTGGTTTTAGTTTTTTCCTGATTAAGCCAAACAACCCAGAGATACTTTTGAGATGAAGATCTAAGGGGAAGGAGGTTAAGAAACCCATCAGAGATGTTTGCCTGTGGGTTAGGGGTCCATGTGCTGACGCGGCTCCTGCAAGCAAAGGCCGGATGAGGAATCCTCCTGTACAAGCACACGTGAAGAAACGCAGCCTCATTGCAGGCGCTGTTTGGGGAGGATGCTTTCATGCCCACTGGCAGCAGCATCGCTGCAGAAAGCTTTAGGGCTGACGTAGAAGAGACCCACTTGTTTCTAAGATGGGGAAACAAAGCAGGATCGGTCTGTGCAGCCTCAGCTTTTCCTTGGCTTGGAATAAAAATCATTTCTCCGATCCCCTAGAATGTGCTGAAGGGCTTTATACACATTTCAGCAGCCGTCCCCCGCAGCCAAGCTAACGGAAGTCCTGCGGGGGCAAGGCAGCCATCCAAGATCATTCAAGAGCAGGCTGGCCCGTACCTGTTGCACATCAGGGGACAAGCTTTTTGAAAATCAAATTAGTGGCGCGGGCTCTTGCCGGGCAGCGGTCTGGCTCCAGGGTCACTTCCAGATTTTGGGATTGTATTTTGTTGGGGGCCAGCGCCAGGAATGGGTTTTTTGGTGTTGATGGAACTAAAGGCATGTAAAACTGCTGAGGTGGAGCAGGTGTGTGGTGGTGCTCTGAGGACTATCCCCTTTCCCCCCCCCAAGCAAGTGAAGTTTGGGTGGGGAAAAAAAACCTCTCATTGGATAAAACCCCCTCCCTGGGGCTCAGCCGTCCCTCCAAACTGCCATGCCGTCTCACCTGAAACACCTCCTCTGGCACGTCCTCGGC